GGTAGGTAGTTTTACTATTGTACGTGGTGGATATGTAGGGCTGGTGATACCACTTGGAGGATTCAACAGACCTGTTGTGCTTTCGCATCTGTTGACACCACTTGGGTAGTTGGTGTCTAGGATTTGTGTGTATGTTTGACTGTGTCTTTTCTGTTGCTCCGAGGGCGCTAAGATTAGCGGTTCAGAGTAAGGGGTTTCAACATCCCCATCAGTTGTTTGGCCAAAGCTGCAGCTGATAGGGATGTCATGGATAAAAAATCATCGTGTTTTTGTGGTCCATGTAAACTTCTGTTCTGCTTTGTATTCCTTACCAGTGACTGCCTTCTGTTACAATTCACAACGGACGTAACTGGCGTTATGTTGGATCGGGGGCTGTCTCCTAGTAAACTAGTGCCATGCAGCCGACCAAAGTTTTTCCTCACAAAGTACCCTGCTGACATTCTATTATGGGTGGTTTGATGTTGGCTTTTTTCATTAGTAAACGATAGGGTTGGGTTGTTGTGACGTCTATTTTTGTTCTCGTTACTAGTGAGACTTAGCTCAGTGCATAGAACCTTCTTGGTAGAGCTAGTGTTCGTACTTCTGTCAATTCCAGAAGGGATTACGGGATCACTTCGGATCATTATATGCTTTCTGCGTCCGTCTCTACGTGTTGGGTTCCATGGGAGCATTGGTTTATCTGTTGCATATCGAGTGGCCGATATCCTAGGACCTAGGCTGGTGTGGTTAGTAGACTTTAGGCCTCCAGTAGACCTCAGCGAGAGTTCTATCACTTTTAGTGCTGTGTCAGGTTTCCCTTTGGGGCTTTCTATGGATACGTCTAGATCTACAGTTTCAGGTGGTTGAGTCAAATCATGCATTTCGCAGTCTTCCGTCTCCACGTTGGTCGGTGTGTTTTTCCGTATATTTGACTTGATAGAGTTTGTGGAAGGAGAAGTCCTAGGCTATATTGGTGGAGATACCTACTGCTTTAGTATGTTGCAGCTTTGCAGCCTTTTGATTGTCATGGCTATGAGCACAGTTGTATACCTGCCTCTTCATCACTGTCCTTTCAAGAACTATCTTCATTCCTGTGAAGACAGCGTTTTTTGCTAAGATAGATTCTGCTTTGATGAATGCTTCCGCTTCTATCTGTGATTTAAATTGAAAGCGTGCCGGACAGCAGTGGTCCTGCTGGCTCTTATTTAGTCGAAAACATTTGGCTTGGACATCATGCATTTTTGCTGTTCTAAGCAAAATTTCTCGCACCACCTTCAACTTTGTCGTGTCAGGGACGTTATAAATTATTGCGTTCAATTTAAGTGGAAGTCTCTTACTTACTTAAGTGGTGATAAAGTTTACCAGGTGATCTACCTTGGATAGTGCTTCGATGTCAACTTCATTAATGGATTCACTACGCGTCAAGATGCTCAGTGGCAAGAGGTTGCCAATCTGAGCTCTAATTTCATCCAGCTGGGGTGACACCTTGAACGCCCTTAACATACTTTCTTGTGGTGCATTTTTCTGTTTGTCATCCTTCAGTCTGCGTATTTCTGCCATTAGCTCCTCTATAAAGGACTTCGGGCTTTCGATTTCTGGAAGAAGTGACAATGACACACTTCGTGGCTGAAGCCTAGTTAGTCTCACAAAAGATGTGGAGCCTCCATTAAGCTTTATATCCGCTGCAACATTTGGCTTTGCGGTCTTATCACATGTTGGGCATGCAGAGATGTCTCTGTTATTATTAGCGTTGGCTGTCTTATCGAACACGGTTCTCCTTCTCTTAAGCATAACTGGAGTATTAGCTGACCCATGCTGTTGCAAGAAGAATCTGCTTTTGGTGTGTCCAACATTCGGGGATTGTTGATGCACTGTTCCACAGACAGTTGTGTCCGTGCCTTTTCACATGCATTAGCCATATCTAGTTGCTTGTCTGATATGTGATTAGTCATTTGAGAATTCAATAGCCCTATGATGACGTTAATGACAAAGTTATGATACGGTTACGAAACCACTTTAAAATTTAACACAATTTCAAACGTACCCCTTTTTCGGACGACAGATTCTCTTACTACTCACCAAGATATGAGACGACCGACAAAGGTCGTAAGTAAGACTCAACCCAAGATAGCTCACACTCGACTTTTTGTTGAAGTACCACCAGTACGACAGGCGTCATGAGATCTAAGTAGCTCATACAGGTCTAGTCTACGCCTGAGGCCAAAACTGACAGTCTGAAATTTAGAAAGGTTTGACTTGAGAGAGACCGCTGGTCAGCTACACACAAGAATTCATTTAATTTAGAGCAATCTAAGTGAGGGATAACTGGAATAGACGCCATCAGGTCACCAGCACAGTAAAATTAATTTCAGCAGAATAAGGTAAATAGTGTAAAAGGAACAAAAACAGAAGAGTAGAAAGTACAGCGCCTTGAGGCTCACCAGCTTCAGTAAGCAACGAAGTCGAGCGCTTCCCTTCATGGACAGTGAACTGCTCCCTTTCGGAAATAATTACGCCACTTTGTAACCCGTGGCTCAGTATGAGCTATGGCAAGCATACTTAGAAGTGGTCTAGGAACAGAGTCAGAGGCTGGTGACGACTCCGAAAAGGCACAACGAACATACCTAACGCCTTTGTCAAGACTAGAAAAAATATCATGATGCGAGATGGCAGCTGCATTTGAAGGACTCTTCCGGTGTTTGTAAGCAAACTGTCTCGTATGTCTGGAACCATCAATGAAGTCCCACTCACAAGGAGAAGTAACTTCTCTGCTGTCTTCAGAAAAGGGAAGTTATGGCGATGACTTCGTCAGAAAGAAAAATTTTCGTTCGATAAAACCACTTCTTTTCTTTTCCTATGATCAGTTGGGTGTATTCAGCCCTTTACAGCGATGGGTAGAAAAGTAACATCTGATCCAGATAATGACCTGGGCACAGGTACAGTCTTTGTCTCCTTCCAAGCAGTGGGTGTTTTGTCTTTCGAAAACGATGCGTTGAAGGCATCTGTAAGGGGATGACATAAAATATCTGCACATTTTCCAAATATGATAATAGAAACATCATCATGACCTAAGCTTTAGGAGGGATTCAAGGATTTTAGACATTTAGAAACGTCATGTGTATTAAAACCTGGAAGGTAGCTATCCACTTGACTTTGGACATAAGGAAGGGTGAAATCAGCTTGCCGATGTATAAATAACTTGTTTAACACGCAGACATCCAAACAAGTTTCTTTTGTCACATGTTTTCTGCCGGTGAGTTCTTTTAATAATTTCCATATATTGGAAACTTCTGGTATGCAGATGTTATACTTCAGACTTAATTAGGCAGTTGAAGCCTCTTACCACTGAGGTGATCTCTCGCCCTGTAAAACCTTTCCTTTTCTCTCCGGAGCCTCTTGAGATGAGCAGAGGAAAGTCTGTCGAATCTCATGTAGATTGTTTCATCAGGGCAGCAGATGTCAAGACAGAATCTGAGATCCCATATTAGATTTGTTTATTTGAGACACATAGCGCACAGTAGTACAGTTTTATTTACTTGATTACGTTTCGAGCACAAACGATTGCTCGCAATCGAACCAATGTGAGCATTGGTCACACTGTGCGCTATGTATCAAATAAACAAATCTAGCATGGAATTGCATTCTACCACAGTGCCCAAGTTTTTCACTTAGAATCTGAGATAGCTTGTGATACTGTTGTTTCAGGCTTCATCAGCAAATATATCCCGGTCTGTTTCTATAAAGATGCTGCTCAAAGGCAATAAACTCTCTTGCGAATAGCCTGTGTATTAAACTTTCCTGGAAAGGTGTCCGGAAGCTTTCTTGCGTGATTGGCGGTGCACTTTAGGCCAAGCACGAACAACACGGCGGTCAGAATTTGGCAACGGAGCCCATTTATGGGCTCCATGTGTGCCAGGTTCATTTCAGAACAATAAGTCTAGGATGTTGTCAAGACGAATGGAAAGGTTAACCATATTTTTGTGACCCAGTGATATTGGAAGACTGCAGTCTTGAGTTGAAATCTCCAGACTATAAACAAGGAGTTACTTGAAGCTGGAACAGCAAATTCAGTGAACTCATCAGCAGAAGTTGAAAAATTTGAGAAACTCCGGTCAAGTGTAGCATAAATGTTTGTTATGTATATATGTTTGTATTTGCTCGAATGTTTGGGAAGACATTTGATGGTGATGCACTCAATTTTCTCGTTAGAGAAACGGAGGCGTACGTAGCTGGAGGAGGATCGGTTCGCACCGATAAACGTCACTGCACCACCACCACATTTCTTCTCGGAAAAGCTTCGATCTTGTCCAAATACCTTTACACCGTTCAAGGAGACTAAGTCATCATCATACAGGTTATGAAGCCGTTTCCTGTGGCATTATTACACCCGTGTTTCATAAACACTTGTAGACAAGAGTTACTGAAGGTAATTAGCTTCATTTAGTAACGGCCTGCAGTTTGCGCCAAGCATTTCCCGAACAGTCACTTGATCTGTGGTCATAGGCTTGAGAGCCAGTTGCCATCCATCATGAGGCTTCTTCTTAGTTTGCCTATCAAGTTGTGTAGCGATAGGTTGCGACGATTTTAAGAAAGCACTAGAGTAAACGATACGATTGATTGGCATAAGTGAATGATTAAAACAATATCGAAGTGAGAAATTTGATGCAATATATTCTATGATAAATGAGGTAGCACGGAGATCAAACAGACCTCAGGTCGGGCAATATAAGAGTATTGCACGGTTATCTGTAGTAATTTGGATGCATCTGATAGAATCAAAGTTAGGAAAACAACCAAATCTACATTTGATGGATACTTTTGAATGAGCAAGGACTTCCTTGAAAAGTATGGTGCTTAAAAAACTAGAACACTAACCTCTCTGGCTGAGATGACTGAAGCTATGGTATCTTCAAAACTATGGGCAGATAAGTTAAAAGAATTCTACGACCATTGAAAAATCAAAGCTGAACTAGAACGACTCAACCTTGAAAAGTTATAGTTGTTTATTGAAGGCTTTTGGGAAAAATTAAGTCACCCGCCATTTCAAATACTCTGTTTAAGCGCGTCGTCTACCACTTTGCACGCCGTGTCTTAGCAACTATTGGGATTGTTCACTCTGCATTGCACATTACTTTTTTAGTGATAATGGCTCTCCACGTACCGAAAGCTCCGGGTTTTATGTCAATGTTGAAGGAGGGAGCTAGGGTAATCAATTTGACTGACAGTTAATCCTTGTTCTAAGTATTTTGAGGGTTTAGAGGAGGCAGTTTACCGTAACATTGAGGCATGTTTGGCCCTCTCAAAGTCTATTAGGTCAACGTTTGGACCTTCAGGACAAAATAAGATTGTGATAAATCATGTTGGTCGTTTGTTTGTGACCAACGATGCGGCCACGATCCTTAAAGAACTTGAGGTGGCTCATCCGGCTGCTAAAATACTCGTCATGGCATCTCAACAACAGGAACGAGAAGCTGGTGATGGTACGAATGCTGTCTTTCAGCTCGCTGGTGCACTGCTGGAACAAGCCAGAGATCTGTTAAGAATGGTAGATTTCACTGACTGGAAGCTAATCAATTCAGGGTCTCTCAGTGGCACAGGTAACCAGTGGCTACGAAATGGGTTGTAAGAAGGCATTGGAAATATTAAATGGTAAGATGTATTCAATATTAATTTCCAGAACTTGTGGTTGAAAACATAACCGACCTTCGGTGTTTCAAGAGTGTACGACGTGTGATCAGGTCTGCTGTGATGAGCAAGCAAGTTGACCTGGCCGATTTTCTGTCTGAACTAATCACAAACGCGTGTAGTAAGTCAACTCTTGATCAGTTCATTCCGTAGTTGAAACACTGCCACAGAAGTCACATTTCAATGTTGACAACATTCGGATTTTGAAGATCTTGGTGAGTGCTTGGTTTTTTAATGTATGCGCCTATCAATATAATTCTTAAGGTTTAAGCAGTGTTGAAAAAGTTTGTCCCGTCGAAAGTCTTATTTCATGTTTATTTCAGTGCGTCCCGATTAAGATGAGTTCCTAATGTTGTATAAACGGTTTAAAACACAGTTCAAACTGAGCCTTAGTATTTGTCAACAGTTCATCAAACCAAAATTGAAAGACAGACATCTGGTTCTGGAACAACGGACTTCCACAACTGTTAGCCGTAATACACTATGCCAATAAAAACTAGCTCCGGACTATTATTAAATAGTGCACTTTACAGTTTACCGAGTATTATTTCTTCTTAATCCGTGAATCAGAAGTGTAATCTATCGGCAAACTGAGAATATATGAATTACCCGATAGCAACCAAGGCCTTTCGAGTAATACAGTCTACCAACGTTTTGAGCTACACTCTGCTTCTGCACTTCTCCCTATGTCTGTCCTCTAGGGAGTCAAGAAACAAGAATATTAAACTCTGTGCACTTACACACAAAAATTCAACTATACTTTATTTGGCTAGTTTATTATGTGAAAAGTGTTACAGTCCTATCAATGGCAAAGGCAAACAGTTATCTTGTCCTCGAAGTCACTAGACATTTTTAAAATCACGTTGTTCTTCATTATGTTGTGCAGCAGGTAAACTGATGCAATGTCACGTGCTAAGAATTTTGTACTGTAAAGATAATTGTGGAATAAAGACACGCTTACCGATGCCAGACAGCAACCGTATTTCTCGACCTGTAGGCAGTATTCGACACCGTCGATCTAGAAGTCTTATGGCAATGTTCCATTGAAAGAGGTACCGAGTAAGTACATCATCTCATTGAAGGCTCTTTTCTCGAACACCTGTGGGTGTGTTAGAGCCTATACTTAGATGTCAGGTGAGGTGTGTACGTCGAGTGGCGTCCGTCAAGGTGCCCGCTCTCTGTTATTCAATTCTACCATAGACTTTCTTATGGCTGTCTCCCTCTCGTCATCTGACTACACAGAGATTGACCTAATCACAGGAGAAAGTTTGGTAGACCTAGAATACACAAATGAGTCCTGTTAGGTGAAGACGCTGACAATCTACCTCCATGCTTAATAGTTTTGGGTGGCAAATCATCAGGTTCAGCTGTTTTGTCTCGTTTTAGGTTCGAAGCAGTCTTCCTACCCATCTGAAAGGTACTTGGATGGTCTGGAGTACCCAAATGACAATCCTGTTAGGCGAAAGCGCTGACAAAACAGAGTTTTCTGAATGCCTAACTTAGAAATCTGAGTGTGTATCATCAGTGTACTTTTCGCACTTGTCAAATCTAAGATAATGCTCCAGAAAGTTTAAACCAACTCATGGTTTAAGGATAGGTGGCAAGTGATGAATATTGTTGACAGTTTTTTTCACCCAAGAAGTTGCATCAGCTTATTATCGGTTGAAGTAGGTCCTAACCAAGAAAAGGTTAAAGACACTAACGTCTAAACCTGACATCAGTCCTTGAAGTTTGACTGTTAGTCTGAAGCGCGTAGAGAAGTGTGGTTAGAGGCATTTTGTAATGGGTTTCGAAATCAGTTTCACCAGAGATGTCTGTCTTTTTCATCGTCCTCAATGTTTTCAGTAACGTGCGTGTATCTGAACACTTGACCATCATTCACTTTTTACTACCTTTATAGCGCATTTTCTAATGCGAACTGATCTAAACGTTTTAATACTAAAATTTCTGTGGCTAGTGACGAACAACCGATATGACACTATATAATCTTATGTTTCAGGTTATTATGATAACCTTTACTAAATTTTACGTGAAGTTATCTCCAGGCTGACTTACTTACTGTTAAATTGTTCTACAGGGGGCTGGTGTCAGTCAATCGAAAATGGTGAAGGGCATGGTATTTCGCCGGGAGACGGAAGGAGAGGTTAAGGAAGTTCGTAATGGAAAAGTTGCCATTTTCTCCTGTCCTGTTGATGCTCTGCAAACGGAAACAAAAGGTACAGTTTTACTAACTTCTGCTGAGGAATTGACACAGTTCAGCAAAGGCGAGGAGGATTCTATGGAGAAGGTAACTGTTTGCTGCTAATGTTATGTATTTTCTGAGGTTGTTCACCTTCAATACATGCCTGCAGACTTTGTTTGAATCTATTTTAAATACCTGGTTTACTTTGAGTGATTTTGCTACCACTAAGCTTGTATGGTAAATTAAAGTATAGCTAGTTTTACGAAGAAACTCAACACTGCAAACTTATGTTTTAAATGATGCAACAGAACTAATGTTTCATACACTGTGGTACAGTTTAACCACCTGTCAAACTTTTGGGTTTGTTAGAACTCGTGAATCTATAATTAAGCGATTGGTTGTGTAGACCACTGACTTGAATTCCTTTTAGTAATTATATAATAGCTATATTTAACCTAAGGAATTATTTCCGTTTTTCTGTAGCAACTTGGTGATAATTAAAAGGTTAACGCATTTGGCCTTAATCTATACTTATTTCCTTGCGGCTAAAATGAAGCAAGCCTTGGTAGATGCAGTTTGGTCTGAACTCATGACCCACTGGTTAGGAGTACATATAACTTTTCGTTGCTCTGCAGTGCGTTTCACACATCAATTTGACTGGTCATCAGTTCACTGAGTCAAAATGTAGCTTAAACCATCTGACGAAGAATCATATTGATCAACTCAAAACGTTCAATGACAGTGACATAATATCGTCCTGATAAAGGAGAAGGTGTTCTGATTAATCGTCAGGGCTACATCGACAAAACGCTGCCGGTTCTCACCGACCGATAACCCAAAGGTGAGAGAAATGAAACAACAGGTCGAAACGCAACTCAGATATTTTTAAGAGAATGAAGAGTAGTGCATCAACTTCCTCAACTTCTAAAAACAGCAGAGGCCTTGGCTGTCCCTGAATTAAAGCCTGACCTAGAGAAGTACATACAGTTTACCTTGATGTTAACTTAATTTGGTCTATGTTTGTTTTGTTTCTCTGGTATGTTTTCAACATACCCGTTTGTTAGGCCAATCTTTGTACTCTTATATCATTATCATATTCATTTCTACATTTAGTTTCCGTTGTTACTTCATTTAATCTTCCTAATCGCGACTTTCAATGTGTTATTTTTTATTTGTACTACCTTGTCTCATTCATATTACCTGGTCCTTTGATCGTCTACTAACTCTACCATGTTTAAACCCCTCTGTAATCTATATGCACCTTATAAACCATTTGAAAAATCTTACGTAATTTGTTTTTGTTATTATTTAACCCTCAAGTTTTCAACTAGCAAAATTATTATAACCACCATTATTGTTATTTAGACCTTCCATTATTTATGTCTAAATTTCCTCAAGGATTTCAGTCTTCAAATATCATATATAAACGAATGTACAGCTTAAGAACAAGCTCGTTGAAGTGTCCTCTGCGCTAAATATCTTGTTTTTCATGTCACAATAGCAATTATTTCCTTATTATCAGCTTTCTCTATCGAATCTGTTCTCAGTTGCAGACTACTTTAATGTCCCCATTTGCTTTTTCATTGCTTTCTCTTTTTCTCTTTGACTCACTATCCTATCTTTCATGGGTGTCAGCACAATATTGTTAGGCGTTTATCTTTTGCAAGCAGCACATTGCTTGCTGTGTTATATGCACACCAAGGATTTTTATGCTTTTATTTATCACTTCAGCATATGCGTTCTCTTTCGAATGCCGGAGTCAAAGTTATTGTCAGTGGTGGCAAAGTGGGAGAACTAGCATTACACTATGCTAACAAGTTGGGTATGATGGTAGTAAAGTTAAGCAGCAAGTTCGATGTTCGACGTCTTAGCCAAGCGACTGGTGCGACAGCCCTCCCTCAGTTAACTACTCCTACACCTGAGGAGCTGGGTCATGTTGGTCATGTCTACACAGACGAAATAGCAGATGCCAGTGTAGTTATCTTTGAACAAGGTTAGTTGATTTGAAATATCTCACACTAATTTTTTATTATTTCCGCAAGCTTGATAGTTTCTCTTGATGGGTTTTGACTTATTCGGTTTTCTAACAGATACTCATGAAGGAACTGTTGTCACTTTAGTGATTCGGGGTAGTACAGAAAATATAATGGACGACGTAGAGCGTGCTATTGACGATGGTGTAAACACTTTCAAGTGCCTCACACGTAGTCCAAAATTGGTGGCGGGTGCTGGAGCCACAGAAATAGAATTGGCTCGCCGTCTCACATCATACGCTGACACTGTACCCGGTCTGGAGCAATATGCAATTAGGGAATTTGCACGCGCTTTCGAAGTTACGGTAAAAGTGCTTGCTGAAAATGCTGGACAAAAGGTTTGTGAATATTATAACTATTAACCACTTGTTTTATATTGGAGTCACATTTTTAATCAATGCAGTGATCGAAGACTAAAGAGTAACCAATTTCATGTTATATACCTCTGAGTCCTCAACAGAATTTATCGACCACTTCGTATTGTGGTCACCAAACTTGGAGATTCAGGATCATGGTTCACTTTGGTTTATGTTAACAGAGTTTTCTGTCGAATGCCTCCGACCACCTAGTATTGCTCATCATTGTTAGTAATTTTTCTGATTTAATGAAGCAAATTTGTATGTCATACTAAATCATCTGTGGTCATTCTAAAGTATGGTTTTAAATCAACACTTAGAACTGTCAACTTTGCCAAAGTTGCAAGTAATTAGTCACTTTTACCTTGATGTCACTCATGTGTTATTGAATCAACATATTTGATGCAGACATTGATCGTAGGATAAAATGAACCGACCAATGATGTGAATTTTTTCGATGTGTGACGCTTTTTAAATCTCTGCTTACCTTAATACTCAAGGCCATGGTTGACGATCAAGACATTATTGGTCTATAAACCGGCGTAACCACAAAATAAAAGTCTTATTGGATATCACTTTACGTGTTAGAATACCATTAATTCAATATTTATAATATTTCCAAGTCGCTTACCTCCCGATTGGTATCAGATTGACATCTTGTAGCCGTTTAGTTGCGGAGTGTTTGTGATAAACTTTGGTGTTTCAAATTGTGTAATCACCTCCGCAATGATCCTTGGGTTGTCCTCCATTTTGCTACTACATGGTGTTTGAGCAAATCCTTAGGGCTTGCTACGGTCATTGTAGTCTGATGTCATAAATATCCTAATCTGAAGTAAAAGTTGTTTCACGAAATTATGCAGATAAAAGTGGTCCTTCGACACTATATATATATATATATATATATATATATATATATATATATATATATATATATATGCCTGGATTAGATGAACTTTCCTGATTTCCCAACCACCTCCGCATTTATTATGTACCTCTTATATCCTGTTTCAAGTGGGTTCGCCTGCTAAAAATCGATACACTTCAGTTATTTTGACGGAGACATACTCCTAACAATTAATTTCTTTGTCTGATTACATTTGAAGGTTACTGAAGTGATCGCCATGTTGTATGCTAAACATGAATCCGGTCAAATTCATACTGGTTTGGTCACTCAACCAAACGGTGATGTATCTGTCAATGATTCTGTGAAATTCGATGTTTTGGATCTTCATCTTTTGAAACACTGGTCTATTCGTTTCGCTACAAATGCTGCCATTACCATACTGCGTGTGGATCAGGTAAGTATTTTAAAGGAATTTGCTCATATTTCACCTACTACTGTTAAATGTAAGCAGTTGGATACACTTGTGTAGTTGTAACCTTCCTTTTTTGAAAGGTTGAATGTATGACTTATTGTGTTGGATACACTGAGTGCAGTCGAATTCTGCTGTTTGAATCGGAAAGGCTGTAAATAGTCTTTCTGTTTTATTGGTGAGACTTCAACTGTTGTTCTCTTTAATTCTCTGCCAATCGATCAAGATTTTGAGAAGTGTTTGTCGATAAAAAAATATCGTGAGGTAGTCTCTTTACTAACAAGACAAATTGTTTCGTTTTACGTCCTTAAAAAAATTATCTTGCTTTATAACAAACGGTTAGGAATAAGCAAGCAACCTTCCAGCAGCTAAATATAGTGAACATTTCGAAGTTACGATTGTTACGTGTTTTGCAATTACCGATGCTCCGAGATGCGTAGACCACTGAAGCGTTGACTGTCTCGAGGGCTTACTCTCCCCACCTACTTCATAAGAGAGTGAAGCAAGTCAGATGCTTCATCCTCTTTAGTTTCTGGCTGTTAGAGTAATTTCTGACGCCATTCTTTTATTTGGATGCTACAGCCCACGTCAAAAATCTAAGTGCACTCATCAACCTAGTGCACATTCGCGCACCGGTCAATTAGCCACATCTGTTGTATGTGGTTGCCCAAAGCTGAGTAAGTTGAGTGTTTGCACCTGCAACCCATTAGTTGCAAGTTGTCTCCATGAGCCAATGAGTCCCATGATCCATGTTCACCATTGGCAGGGATCAGGGTTTACTGAATCCCCTTGTGACACTTTCCGTTTCCAATAATCAGCCGATTAACACAGGTCATTCACTTTGTCTTCTTCGTTTTTTGAAAATCGCCACATGAATGTAGTGAGTAGGATTCTCCAGGTAGGAGCTATAAACTCGTAGTATCATCTTCAGGGATAATCAGGCTTGTTTCATCCCCAGTTGTTCTAGGGCGCCGGGTGATAATCTTACGAATTCAAATCGCATTGAGTTTGCGAAAATCACTCCTTCAGTATACTGCGGCTCGAAAAATAAACACTTTTCACAATACTTGATCATTGATAACTTTCATGCTTTCTGTTAACAAGATTATAACAACACACTTCGAATCCTACCAGCAATATACCACATATCTTAAAAAAGCGGTAGTTCATCGATTTACCCGTAACTGTAGGAGAGTTACGGATCCGAGCCCTAATGGATATGTGCCTCTGAAACAAAATACATAGCATAGACTTATCAGAAAAAACAATATGGAACGTTATTCAATTTCCCAGTTTCCTTTTTTGAAACCGATTCTTATATCCTATGTTCATGTGTTTTTTCGCCATAAAAACTTTTAGATTATTATGGCACGCCAGCTGGTGGACCAAAACCTCGTCAACCAGGAGCTGCAGATGAAGATTAATCGGTGTATCCACTTATGCTTTCTTTTGGGACTGTATGTTTTACTGATCCACTGGCCTACTGTAACGTGTACTTCTAATAAACTATTTTAAAAAACCTTGATTCATTCTTTTCATTCTCACACCAGACATTTCACTGTGTATTTTCCCAAGGTATGACTGTTTGAATGCCTGAGTAAAATGAACGCAATGTACAGAACATAAGACGTTCTCAAGAATAGTCAAACCAGCAATAGTGGCTAAAATCTTGTGTTGTATGATGGCTTTCATCGTGCAATGAAGAAAGTATATAACAGACTCCTATTTGTTTGTGAATAAATTATCTCTGACAGTGCTTTGGATACTCCTTAATGAAAGTTCAATAGATTTCTCAAAAAGAAAATGTTCAGTTGATCAGTGTTTGCAGTGCAATCTTTGTTCACACCAAGTTTTCCATAGGGTTTAGGTCTGTTGAGATTTCACTTCCACATTCTAAACAGATGAACTGTTAACGGAAATCTTCACACCTGTCATACTAAGAGGTCTTCTTGATAATCGTTTTATCTCTGTAGCGTATAGAGACTTTTCCAGCTGCGTCCTACTTATTTATGATCGACGTGTGGTAGTTTGTCACCCTAAATGAGAAGTAATTTTTTAGCTACATAAATCCAATAGATTTAGGGTTTTCGATACCGGGATGGTTAACGCGTCAGTCATCTGTAACTTACAGTTTTCAAAATATATATGTCTGACTAAAATGTTGATAATGCTTAGCAAAGAATTCTTTCCTTTTCAGTAAATCCGAAATCTCACCTATAAATTTGCATTCTTTTTATTCAAAGTGACGCTGTTTTGAACTTCACAATCACTAATCTTGTTCATCTGTCCCACACATGTATGCTGACAACACTACAAAATTTGGTGATAGTACCTATCATGGATATGAAGCTGTTGATTCTGCTGATGATTCCGATGCACTGGTTGACCCTGAGTTCGTTAACATTTAGAAGAAATTGAAAGTAATGAGTTTGAAAATGTCGACTTATACTCTGTTTTGGGTGTTGACAAGACTGCCTCATCAGCTGATCTTCGTGCAGCATACAAACGTTTATCGTTGTTGTTTCATCCGGACAAACATTCTACTATAGATGAAGGTGAGAAAACGCATCCAAACATCTTGGATGCAGAGGCTGCGTTTAACCGCATTGCTTCCGCATACGCCATCTTGAGTGATCCTAAACAGCGTGCAATTTATGACAGTTTCGGTTATAAAGGTAAGTTACTGGGATTTTCGTGGTAATTGTCAATATCTTTCTAAACACTTTGGGCGATCGATTTAGTGTACCCCAAACTTAATATGTCGTCCAGTCGAATTTACAAGTAATAAGGAGACTCAAGGTCACCACTATCCATAGTTCCGATTCAAATAACGATTCGAACTCAGGACTTTTATCGAAGTACACGAGTGCGAATGGTTTCCAGTCAACCTGTGTTGAGGAACGTTGACAACCATCCTCATTGTTATGCTCCGTTACATTCAACAAACAAACAGACAAATTAACGTGAAAAAAGACATTCGATTCCATCAGCTTGAGGATCGACAAGTCGAAGCAACATGCAAATTAAAAGTGAAAAACCAAAATAGGAGTAGATTCAAGAGCATAAAATACGTGAATTAAGTTAAAGAAAGTTTCCAAACCTATAAGAGTGTATGTGATCGATTTTGAACTCCATCACAAAATGCTTCTAACCATTGATTCCTATCTCTTCAAGGCTTCAGCTACGCACCTCCCAACACGGTTGAGATGATGGGTCAAACTGTATGAATTGGTGTCATATCTTGTTTTGGTTGCCCTTGACCTTTCATTCAACTCAATCCTGCCTTGAATAACATCATGCACCGATTGTGGCATGTTGTGGTTCCCGGAGATTGGAAACAAAGTTTCGCTACCAGATACTGTTATTAAAGCTCACGGAGAGAGAAGTTAGGGAAACTCTGCGGTGAATAAAAGGATAGAGTTTATTTGAAACAGGTGATATATTTGTGCAATACAGTACAGACAATTTGATCATACATTCACCAGTTAAGGTATTTATTAGGAGAGTCTATCGTGTGCAGCCCACTTCCGAGCCATCTAAGTTAGCGAGGGTGCATTACCTCATCGACTAGCTTGTTATCTTTCTTACCACAAAACTTGTTACCTTAAAATCGGTCACATAATGGTTTCACCAAGCACGACCAACGTCACAATGAAATCTAGTATGAAGAGATGTAATTTCGAAGGCTGTTTGAGGCATACAACTGCAGCTTAGTATACTCGCCAGCTGAAGTGGCAGATCACGTAGATGGCTCAAGACAAGTCTCAAGTTTATGAATGCTAACCATGACAGCTGCGATGCAGATATTAAGTACGCGTGTGCGTTACTGAATCTCATTTTGAGTCTCCAACCTCGCCTTTTCGTTTTTACGTGAGCGCCGATCGGAAAGCCTACATTTCCCTGACTTACAAAATCAACGTAGAACCAACCAGCGCACAGGTGCATCGACTCAAGTTGCCACACTTCTCTACGCGCTTCAGACTAACAGTCAAACTTCAAGGACTGATGTCAGGTTTAGACGTTAGTGTCTTTAACCTTTTCTTGGTTAGGACCTACTTCAACCGATAATAAGCTGATGCAACTTCTTGGGTGAAAAAAACTGTCAACAATATTCATCACTTGCCACCTATCCTTAAACCATGAGTTGGTTTAAACTTTCTGGAGCATTATCTTAGATTTGACAAGTGCGAAAAGTACACTGATGATACACACTCAGATTTCTAAGTTAGGCATTCAGAAAACTCTGTTTTGTCAGCGCTTTCGCCTAACAGGATTGTCATTTGGGTACTCCAGACCATCCAAGTACCTTTCAGATGGGTAGGAAGACTGCTTCGAACCTAAAACGAGACAAAACAGCTGAACCTGATGATTTGCCACCCAAAACTATTAAGCATGGAGGTAGATTGTCAGCGTCTTCACCTAACAGGACTCATTTGTGTATTCTAGGTCTACCAAACTTTCTCCTGTGATTAGGTCAATCTCTGTGTAGTCAGATGACGAGAGGGAGACAGCCATAAGAAAGTCTATGGTAGAATTGAATAACAGAGAGCGGGCACCCTTGACGGACGCCACTCGACGTACACACCTCACCTGACATCTAAGTATAGGCTCTAACACACCCACAGGTGTTCGAGAAAAGAGCCTTCAATGAGATGATGTACTTACTCGGTACCTCTTTCAATGGAACATTGCCATAAGACTTCTAGATCGACGGTGTCGAATACTGCCTACAGGTCGAGAAATACGGTTGCTGTCTGGCATCGGTAAGCGTGTCTTTATTCCACAATTATCTTTACAGTACAAAATTCTTAGCACGTGACATTGCATCAGTTTACCTGCTGCACAACATAATGAAGAACAACGTGATTTTAAAAATGTCTAGTGACTTCGAGGACAAGATAACTGTTTGCCTTTGCCATTGATAGGACTGTAACACTTTTCACATAATAAACTAGCCAAATAAAGTATAGTTGAATTTTTGTGTGTAAGTGCACAGAGTTTAATATTTTTGTTTCTTGACTCCCTAGAGGACAGACATAGGGAGAAGTGCAGAAACATGGTGCATGTCGTCAGGTGAAAAAATTCTTACGTAAACGGTCAACGTGACCAGTAGTCCACAAGATTTCAGATGCCTAGGATATTAATGGAGCGGTTACGAGTGACCGTTGTTGAGGTCTCAATATGAAGTAGAATGATGAAAACAGACCTTTAAAAAGTGCCTTATCATCAAGGTATGACACTCAGCAAACATTCATGGAGTGTTTAGTATACAGCATTCAACGACCACAAAGCAATTTGAGCTTACATGTAGCTCTGAAAGTTGATGGACTGTATTATTCGAAAGGCCTCGCTTCCTGTTGGAGTAGGTCAGGTATACTGAAGGTTATTGTGGCATTTGACAAGTTAAGTCATGTGGGTCACCGACTGGGTAGATTGTCGACAGGTATTTAGGTCAGTGTACTGCTCTGAAGTCGTTTGTTTTACTACCGTTTAATGTAGTGTGTAAGAAGAGATCATTTGTTTCCGACCAAAGGTGTCTCAATCGCACTGTACGCGTTCGTTGAAACCACCGTGTTGGCAATGTCGAGTTTAAGCTTATGTTTCATGGCAAAGTGGGCAACTTAGTTGACGAGTTTTTTGGATTGTACTAACGGTGCCCAGTCGGTAAAGTCTCTTACAGTTTATTGGAGTCATATGGGGAAGTTCCGGCTAAGTGGTTGGGATCTCCAAAAGGAAAGAAATCAGTTTAGGAGTATTGGTTACGTGACTGATAATCGGTCACGCTGGCGTAGATGCATTCACTCTTTGACATCTAAAGCTTAAATGTTCTCACTAACTGTTATCTTCAAATTGCTTATCATCTCAAACCACTTTTCTCTTTTGTTATCACTGAAGTCTATCAATGTCTCTGTTTGGCGCTGTGAAGTGCGGTAGCTTGAGCCGATACACCTTTGTTCGAGGTTTTATGTGATTTCGCTATTATGAATTTGTTGATTTTCATCTGCTGAAATCGGTTGGACATATGAATCGCCGTTTACCTCAACGTCCTATACTGTGAGAAGTTGGGTTGCTGTTGAATGAGGTTTAGGGCTGTCAGAATGGGACGTGGAACCGAACGACGAAGTCTGTGCTTGTTGGTTTCAGCCGTCTAGGAAGGTTTAGTCTACGTGTTGGGGTTTCCTGAGACCATGAGAACCAATAATTATAGATTCTTGGTGCAATGACTAAAGATAGGTTACAATAGCATAGAAGCATGTACTCTTTGATGTTATCTAAAGCTTGATATTTTCCGTGACGCTAAACTTCCAGTTTTTCATCCCACCCACCTGTGGCTATTTTGGTATCAGATTCTTTCTGTTCGCTTGTAGTTCGAAGCTAATTTTGAAGAGATATCAACCGAAATCTTTTTATGTTGATGTTCTTGTTAGAAAGAAAGCCTCATATCCCTTGTTCAACTTGAATCCACACATTTTAGATGTTTTCGTATGAATTTTCTGATGTTGGTATTTATTCATACACAGTGT